TGAATTTATAATAGTACCTTTTAAATTTGTTGAAAAAAATTGGCTTTTTCGCGTTAATAAGTAATGAATGAAATCAGAGAAAAATCTTGGCACTCCCCTTTTATGAAGTTAATGTAATAAAATTACTTACAAAGTGAATTTTATATTTTTTCTTAGAACGAACATTTGTTAAATTTAGTTTCTTGCTTTATGAAATTACAGTAAAATCTATACACACAAAAAAGAGAATATACCACTTTGATGTGATTGGTAAAATGGGATACAATTTCCTTCATTTGAAGGTGTATTATAGGTCAGATAATACATGTTATAAGGGTTTTCTTGTTATATTTCAAACCCTGGGGTGCCATGTTTGCCCAAAATATTACCATCCTATATTCATTCTTTTATTTGAACAATCCTGAAAACCCTCAGTGTATTATATAACAAGAAAAGCAAATGAGAAATATTCCAACCTATCTTGATGGAAATGCTCTATTGTCATTTTTATTCAAGAAAACCCTTTTTGCAATTTTTTGCCATTAAGTTTCTTGAAAGCATCCTATAAGTTAAAGTATTGAGATCTTGAACGATTGACAAGAGACAGGTATCCACTAGATATTAAGGAAAATGGATATAAACAACAATGACACAAACAATTACTGGATAGTAAGCTATTTCAAGCCTGAGCATGACAATGAAAATAACACTTTATAAATTTTGTGCATCTATAGCACTTTCCTGGATATATATCTTCATCAGGAATGTTCAAACCAAATTATTGAAAGCCAGAGATGTATAAATACATAGAAACCTTTGGTGCTAAACAAAAAATTTTAAAATGTAAAACAATAACAACAAGAAAATAAGCAGGTGGATTCATCTGAAACAATAAACAAACAAGAATGTGTCCATAGTACACGGATGCCAGACTCGCACTACCATTTTCTATTTTCAGTGGACTGTGAAATTGGGGGTCAAAACTTTAATTTGGCATTAAAAGTAGAAAGATCATATCATAGGGAACATGTGTACTAAGTTTCAAGTTGATTGGACTTCAACTTCATTATTATACAGCTGCGCCATGAGCGCATGATACGCCCGTTGCGTTTTCAAAAAATAAAAAGTTCAATAACTACTCGTCAAATCAGATATTGAAGAATAAACTGCTTCGCTGAGCGCAGCTGGATATGCCAGCAGAGGTCCAACCCTGAACAGTTGGGGCAAAAATGGACACAATATTCAAGCTTGATACAGGTCTGAATTTGGACTGTAATTAAATATTTGACATTTTATAGGTTTCTGAATAAATGTAGTCAAAGAACTTGAAATTGGTTATATGAATTGAATTTATATTCAATAAAAGATTTCTTGCTGTTGTGCAATACACTGTGCTGTTGCGCAATACTAAGTAAATCTGTTGTAAGACTATAAACAAATAAAGTTCAATTTCTTCTCAATGTCATATTTGAAATTTATGAAAATCAATAGGGAGATTACATCAATAGCTATAAATAATTGACCAAAGTCTCATGAGAACTGCTGAAAGCATTTTTGAGTTATTGTCCAAAAACTGGAAAATCCCCCCTTTTTTAATGAATAAAACCCCATAACTCAGAAATGTTAAATCTAAAATTTATAAAATTCTAAAGGGAGCTTACATCAACAGATATAAACAATTCACAAAAGTTTCATGAGAACTGCTGAAAGTATTTTTTAGTTATTGTCCAAAAACTGGAAAATCCCCCTTTTTTTATGAATAAAACCCTGTAACTCGGAAACGTTTAATCTAAAATTTACAAAAAAATCCAAAAGGGAGCTCATGTCAATAGATATAAACAATTCACCAAAATTTCTTGCAAGTTGGTGAAAGCATTCTTGAGTTATTGTCGGAAAACTGGAAAATCCCCCCTTTTTTAATGAATAAAACCCCCAAAACTTGGAAACGGTAAATCTGAAACAGAAATTTATAAAAAACGAAAGGGAGCTCACGTCAATAGATATAAACAATTCACCAAAGTTTCATGCATATTAGGTAAAGCTTTTTTGAGTTAATGTCAGATACGTTGACGGCGGACGGACGGACAGACAGACAGTCAATGGTATACCATAATACGTCCCGTAAAAGGGCGTATAAAAACTAAAGGGAGGTTATCTTAATAGATATAAATCAGTCACCAAAGTTTAATGAAAAGTGCTCAAAGCACTTTAACTTTTAAGGATATTGTCCCAAAACTGGAAAATCACCCCTTTTTCATGAATAAAATCCCATAACTCGGAAACATAAAATCTAAAATTAATAGAAATAACTAGAGTCTACAAACTATGCTAACTATACCGGCAAAATTTGACTTTTAGATCTTGCCTTGCTGATCATTTTTGTGATTTAAAGTGTTTATTTAATTATTATAATTTAAATCATATAAGGCATAAAAGGATAAAAATGTTTCTCTCTAAATATAGTTTTCATGATAATAGGCAAAAATGATAAAATTTGTCATTTATGGGCAATAACTCCTAAAAGAATTTGTCTTACAGTTTTGACGTGTTTGGACAATTGGTAGAGCTCATTAATCTGAACATTTTTGCTCCTTTCAGATTTTCTCTATCTATAACGGTTGAAAAAATAAAAGACAAAACTTGCATTTTACCCCTATTTTCTATTTTTAACCATGTTGGCCATCTTGATTGGTAGGCGGGGTCATCAGACATATTTTTAAAACAAGATACCCAAATGATGATTGTGGCCAAGTTTGGTTAAATTTGTCTTCGTAGTTTTAGAGGAGAGGTTTGTTTGTAAAAGATTACAAAATTGACAAAAAATAGTTAAAAATCGACTTTAAAGAGCAATAACTCTTTATGGGGTCAATAGACAATTTAGGTCATGTTGACTTATTTGTAGATCTTACTTTGCTGAACATTATTGCTGTTTACAGTTTATCTCTATCTATTATAGTATTCAAGATAATAACCTAAAACTGCAAAATTTCATTAAAATTACCAATTCAGGAGCAGCAACCCAACAACGGGTTGTCTGTTGCGTCTGAAAATTTCAGGACAGATAGATCTTGGCCTGGTGAACATTTTAACTTGTCTCAGATTTGCTCTAAATGCTTTAGTTTCAGAGATATAAGCAAAAAACTGCATTTACCCCCATGTTCTATTTTTAGCCATGGCGGCCATCTTGGTTGATGGGCAGGGTCATCGGATATATTTTTTTACATAAGATACCCTAAGTATGATTTAGGCCAAGTTTGGTTTTATTTGGCCCAGTAGTTCCAGAGGAGAAGATTTTTGTAAAAGTTAACAGATGAAGACGGATGACAGACGCCAAGTGATGAGAAAAGCTCACTTGGCCCTTTTGGGCCAGGTGAGCTAAAAAGGGAGCTCATGTCAATAGATATAAACAATTCACCAAAGTTAAGAAAACTGCTCAAAGCATTTTTGAGTTGTTGTCCGAAAACTTGAAAATCCTCCTTTTTGCAATGAATAAAACTCCCACAACTCAGAAACGTAAAATCTAAAATTTATAAAAATCGAAAGGGAGCTTATGCCAACGTCATACCAATATAAGACCACAATAATAAAAACCCATAACTTGGAAACTTAAAATCTAGAATTTATAAAAAATGAAAGGGAGCTCACGTCCATAGATATAAACAATTCACCAAAGTTTCAAGCAAATTGTTTAAAGCATTGTTGAGTTAATGTCCAACATGTTGATGACTGACATACGGACAATGGTATACCATAATACGTCCCATAAACGGGTGTATAAAAACTACCTTGACCAAAAACCTTTAACCTGAAGCGGGACACCCCACTCGCACTATCATTTCTATGTTCAGTGGACCATAAAATTGGGGTCAAAACTCTTATTCGGCATTAAAATTAGTAAAATCATATTAAAGGGAACACATGTGTAATTAGTCTTAAGTTGATTGGACTTTATCAAAAACTACCTTGACCAAAAACTTTAACCTGAAGCGGGACGGACAAACGGATGCACAGACCGAAAAACATAATGCCCCTAGGTGGGGCATAAAAAACAAATATGACTGACAACAACCAAATACATCCACTAACTTACAACTTGGGACAGGAACATAAAGATTTTGACTGGGCAAAAATTCCTGGTGAGTGCTCAAAATGAAAAAGTCAGTTGGATAGGACTCTACTCATCAGATCTGCATGAGTATTGTAAAATTTCTAACTACCAGCAAAAAGGAAGTGCCTAAATGGCAGATATAAACATTGCTTAACTCAATATTATCAAGCTTCAGACCAAATAATAAATCATTCCCTTCAACAAGTGCCGAGAATACTTTGACGAAAATTTTCCTTGCACAATGGGTGTGGTCAAATTTCAAACTATCAGCAAACAGGATGTGAATATAGGCCATAATAGGGTAAATGTAAAAATTGCTTACTTGCTACAACTTAACATTATCAATCTGCAGACAAAATATTAAATCATTTCCTTTAACAGGAGCTGAGAATACTTTGACAAAATCGTCAAAGTTTACTTTCGAAAGATGTAAGGACAGAGGGATGGACTGACAGATGCATTTATCAGTTACTAGACCTGCCTCTAACAAATATACATTATAAATAAATCATGCTCTCCCAGAGTAAAATAACAATCAGCACATATCCAACAGATTTAATACGCATCATAAACAGTATGAGAAAAGCATGACCTAGTGCTTGACCTATAGTTACTAACCTCTAAGTCAATTGGTCTCTGGTGGAAAGTAATCTCATTGGGAATCATACTACATCTTTTTTCATTGTTTAAAGATAAAAATGCAGGATAAAAATCTTAAAATAACATTAATGGTATCAATTTTGATGCACCAGATGGGCATTTGACAATTAATGTCTCTTCACTGATGCTCAAGGCCAAAATATTTGAAAATCCTAAACTTATTCAAAAGTTGTAAAGCTGATAAAACCAAAAAGAACAAAAAAGTAGAGCCATCTAGGACATTTTACAGACTTGTAATTTGTTCATTACATACCAAAAGAGTCCAGTGGTTTTCTCCCTCATTCACTGCACCAATAACACAGTCATATTCTTGGAAGTTGACCTATAAATAAAGTCATTTGAAAAGATTTTGCATTGAAGTATGTTGTCTTGATTGCAATAGTTAAAACTATAACTGATCTTTCTTTTTTTCTCAAAAACAATGATATATAACATAGTAGTTTAATATAGCTATAGCTAATATTTCCCAGTTATTTTATTAACACTTCAGGTACCCAATCAGGCAATATTGAATTTCATTGCAATTTGACCTCGTCTTTTATAATTTTATATACCTTTTTTTCTGCAAGAAATATGGCGATGGGAAAGATTTTGAGTTTTTACCCATTATCTACTGTTGATTTTTTTTTTATAAAATTTGTCAAATATAGGCTACAAGGTTTGTATAGGTTAATACCCCCTTAAAGATTCCAAGCTAGTCTCTTTGTTTTTTGCAAAACAATTGTTCTTATATGAAGTTTTCATGTGGAAAAAATTTTAACTAGCCATAATTTTCCTCAAAATTTTCCTCAAAATTTTCATATGTTTAAATCTTATTATTTGTTTCAATCTTGAACTTTATCTATACCATATGTACCTCTTGTAAATAGCCATGTGTCTCTGTTTGCCTGTTTGCAATAGCTGTCATAATAGTACTATTGATGTAAATTGTTCCAGTTGATCCTACAGTCAGCTGATGTAAATAAGCATCAATAACCTACAAAAAGAAATCTGTATTATTTTCAATACATTTTGTTTCAGATTAGTGTTTCTCAGGCAGAAAATGTTCCTTCACACTTCCAATAGGATAAAATTAAAAATGGTGAGGATCAATAATGGAAAAAAGAAAGTAACAAACATATATGTATTTACTTTGTAATTCATTTCCCTTTCCTATATTGATTGAGGATGTTTGCTACACGTTTCAAAATAACAAGCTTTTTAAATGATTGTTATAAATTGATATTATATAAATAACAGACCTCAAAATGCAGAAAAAAATGATGGGTCTGTGTGGCCCTTTTTGACCCCAAAATATAGTGTTTTTACAGAGTTGTTAAAAATATAAACTTTTAGCTATTTATTGGAAAGTAAAATACTTTTGTTACATAAATATTGGCTGTTTTTGACAATACAATAGACATGCATCAGGTACTAGCATCATTCTTTCATGCAAAAATACTAAAATCTTCACAATTTTATATTTGTGCTAATTTAAAGACAGTTTTTGTCTTAAATGGAAATGGCAGCACTAGTGAATCAGTTTTAATATTTAAACATAAGTTGTATTTAATGATAATACATAATTAAATGTTGAGACTGAACACGAATGAGGCCACTAACATTTTAGATAAAAAAAAAACATCTGAAAAGTGATTAAAATTGAGAATGGAAATGGGGAATGTGTCAAAGAGACAACAACCCGACCATAGAGCAGACAACAGCTGAAGGCCACCAATGGGTCTTCAATGCAGGGAGAAACTCCCGCACCCAGAGGTGTCCTTCAGCTGGCCCCTAAACAAATATGTATACTAGTTCAGTGATAATGGACGTCATACTAAACTCCAAATTATACACAAGAAACTAAAATTAAAAATGATACAAGACTAACAAAGGCCAGGGTCTTCAATGCAGGGAGAAACTCCCGCACCCAGAGGTGTCCTTCAGCTGGCCCCTAAACAAATATGTATACTAGTTCAGTGATAATGGACGTCATACTAAACTCCAAATTATACACAAGAAACTAAAATTAAAAATGATACAAGACTAACAAAGGCCAGGGGCTCCTGACTTGGGACAGGCGCAAAAATGCGGCGGGGTTAAACATGTTTTTTGAGATCTCAACCCTCCCCCTATACCTCTAGCCAATGTAGAAAAAACAAACGTACAACAGTAGCACAGTAAAACTCAGTTCAAGAGAAGTCCGAGTCCGATGTCAGAATAGGAAACAAAAGAAAATAAACAAAATGACAATAATACATAAATAACAACAGACTACTAGCAGTTACTGACATGACAGCTCCAGACCTCAATTAAACTGATTGAAAGATTATGTCTTCATCATATGAATATCAGGCACAATCCCTCCTGTTAGGGGTTTAGTATTATACTGTCATAAAATATATGAGAAAAACATAACCCGTGTCATGCCAACAACTGGTTTTAGAATAAATATGTTTAATTCCGATGCAAAGACCCTATAAGTGAATCAATATTAAAGCCAAAATATGCAATCTTTAATGACCTGACAACAGTATCGTAACTATATCCCTTCTTAATAAGTCTGTTTAAAGGTTTTGTTAGCTTTTGAGGTGAATACTGACATTTTTGTGCTTTGTAAAGAATATTACCATAAAAGAATGGATGTGAAATACCCGAACGTATAAGATGTCTGCATGTTGAGTTATATTTACGAATGATGTCCTTATACCGATGATAAAATTTAGTAAATGTTTTGACTAGTTTATGATATCGAAAACCCTGGTGTAATAATTTTTCAGTAATATATAAATTTCTCTCGCTAAAATCTAATACGTTGTTACATACACGAGCGAATCGTACAAGTTGAGATATAAAAACACCATAAGATGGTGACAAGGGAACGTCACCATCTAAAAATGGATAATTAACGATAGGAAATGAAAAATCGTCTCTTTTATCATAAATTTTTGTATTAAGCTTCCTGTTAATGATATAGATATCAAGATCGAGGAAAGGACAGTGGTCATTGTAAGTATTAGCTTTATTTAAAGTAAGTTCAACAGGATAAATTTCTTTAGTATACATACTGAAGTTGTCATTATTGAGAGCCAATATATCATCCAAATATCTAAAAGTATTGCATATTTGATAGATTTTTCATATTTAATCTTGAATTTGAGCTTTATTAATGACCAAATCAGTTCAAATCTTTAACATTAACTAATTGATATGACTGAAGTAAACACTGAAATAATTGTTGAAACAGCCTTATAACAAAACAATAAACCCCAAAAAAAAATATGACAGATGGCAACCAACAACAACCACTTCTACAGGTGAAGACTTTAGGTTGCCTTCTAGATGTCATTTTGTTTATTTTTGTGATATGTTTGCTGTCTTTTTATAAATCCTGATCTCTTTTTATTCATAATATCATATGTAAAAATTGTGTGGCCTTGAAATTGAATTCACAGTTTATTCATATAAATCCCCTAATCAGCATCATAGCATGTGTCTTAATGATGACATGTTTAGCTTAAAAAATGAAACATAGTTTTTTACATCATACCTCATCTGGCAAAAATCCTCTCATAAAAAATAAGCTTTCCAGTGTTACATTGATGTTCTCAATTTTACCAACTGTGTCATTCTTGTCAACGTTGTCCCACTTCCATAATTCTGAAATACCTTTAAACAGAAATAATATTTAAGATAACACTGCATTTTGATTACAATAAAACTGTACGAGTTCAAGATTCATGTTGGATATCTTTTGCTTATTTTTGTAATCGGGTTGTTATCTCATTGACGTATATCTAACATCTCCTTTTATTCATATAACAGCTAATATATATTCTGTCTGATTGTCTATAAAGTTTTCACTATAAACATTATTTTAACATTAACTGACGTTATAACCTTCGTTAATTTAGCAAAAATTTCTACATATATGGTCTGATTTGCAGCAAAATCTTATTCACAGGACAAACGAGTCTCAACTCACAATATTCTCAATCATAAACCAACAAACATCCTATATATAAACTGTCAATATATATATAGTTTAAAAACTTACAGACTTTTGCCAATAGGTCGTCCTCATTCATACTTGGCACTTGGGTTGCTGTATACATAGTAGATTCTGAATCATCTGTTACATTAGGCGGTATTACTTCAGAATCTATTTCCATACTAAAGAGATTTCCTGTCACACTTTTTGTATTCTCATTTCTCGTTGCTTTCCTATCTTCATCCTTAAACATATAATTAAAATAAACATTGCTGTCTGCTTCATTTTCTTTTCATTTGTTGTTTTAAGCATACTCAGGCCATTGCGGTTTTATCTTTTGAATTGTTTCACATTTTGTCGTACTTAGATCTTTGATAGCAGTCATATTATACATGATATATATATGCTCATCGTTTAAGGCCATACAGTGTCCTGTGGTTATTAATGTCAATAACCTGGTCTCTGGTGGATAGAATTCTGGCATCTCCTTTCTCATTTATATTCAGACAAAAACATTTTTTTTTTTAAACATTTATTTTAACATAAAGCTTAAGGTCAAACTTTTGTGCCACCTTACGATGAAGGTATTTTCATACCACTTTTTGGGCTGCTTGAACTTTGAATAAGAAAAAATACCAGTAATATGGTTTCATTTTGAAACCTTGCATTGTTATTTAAATATTACCCAAGGCCCTACCCCAAATGATATTTTGCTACAAGAAGTCTTATACAAATATATGTTAACAATGGTTAATGTGGGTAAATCATTTTTTCTTGGCTCATAACTAATTATGTAAAAAGTCATATATGTCTTAATTGGTCATTCTAAGTCAAATTTGTCTTTAGGAGTAATACCACCATTGTTTTTCCCCTACAAGTCTTTGTTAAAATGGCATTTTTCAAAATCCTTGTTTTTCGTATATTTCATACACAAATTAGGCAGTTGATTTTCTTAATTGAAATTTTGACAGTTTTTCATGACAGGGCCTTTTAAAACTTTCTGTACAATATGGGTTTTGATCATAATTGAGAGCTGTTCAGTGATCTAAAATTGCTTAAATCTTTTCGATATTTGTCTGATTTGCATTTTTCCATAGACATACAGAAGTGGTAATGTCTTTAAAAAAGTTCCCATACCAGTGATAACATACACTAACAAATACTGTGGATTTATTTATTTCACTGTAATTGGTTGATCTTTTTAAAGTGGTTATTAACAAAATCCATGAAATTTGGTATCCAACAAACTATAATGATCCAAAACTTATCATCAAATACCAAGACTTGGTGAATGTCTCAGAAAACTAATTCTTTCAGTCTTTTGGTCTTTAAGTCAATTGGATGATATGGCATTGACATATCTCATATACCTTTTTATTTACATATTAAGATAAACATAGTTATCCTGTTTAAACTGCTAATGCGCTTACCAGGGAAACCTTAATATCCACAACATCTTGACTGTTATAATCATCCCAAACTGGTAGAGACCACTGAGTTTGTCTGAAATAGATTACATTTTTATTGCTTTGAATATAATTTCAACACCTTTGCATGTCAACTAAGGAGAGCCGTGGTGTAGTGGTTAGTGCATCGGACTACTAACACAAAGGTTCCTGGTTCGATCCCCGGTGCGGGGAGAAAATTTCAGGGACTGAATTTTCAGCTCTCCCTTGACACAATTTGCGAGTATGGTCTTGAGGAATGATGATAGTCCGTCAGAAGGGGACGATAAATGGCTGACCCGTGTTAAGAGAAAGCCATATCTCTTGCACGTAAAAGACACCCTTGTAGATTTCGAAAAAGAGCAGGCTAATGCCGCTACAAGGCAGCACTCGCACTCGCAAAGTGGAAAGGGATTAATACAAGTTTCAATAACTTGTTTCCCAATCCACTATAAATAAATATGTTTAAACTAAACTAAACTAATTTAAACATTTAAACAGAGTACATAAAAGAAAATAAAAGAACAGAGTTCCAATTTCCCACGCGTTGCACATATTTTATCTATGCAAGGTAAAACGGCAATAACTAGAAAACCCTTTATTTTTGTTCTTTAAAATAAATTATAATATACTGTAAGTTTTTAAAAAATTTGAAAAGAATTGTACCTGTGAGAGCGCTAACGAGGCCGTTTTCACATAAATATAATATTTCCAAGGGGCATGACTTTATTAAAAAAAGTTGTTAGGCCACCATTATAAAACTTGTCCGAGATATTGCTCATATTAAACTATTGTATAAGTTTTATAAAAATGTGGCAAGAATCGTACCGGTGAGTGTGCTAAGGAGGTTATTTTCCATAAATTTAATATTTCCAAGGGGCAGAACTCTTTTAAAAATAGTCGATTGGCCACCATTATAAAACTAGTCTGAGATATTGCTGATTTTAACCTATAGTATAAGTTTTATAAAAATCTGGCAAGAATTGTACCTGTAAGAGCACTAACAAGACTGGACGGATGGACACACAGACGGATGAACAGATGGACTGACGCCAAGTATTTCTGTGTCCCGCACAAAAGTGTGCATAGGGATAAATGATTGTAAATTAAACATAATCTTGAATTATATACTCATTATTCTAGTTTCTCAAATAAGTTTCATATACTATCTGTTAATCAAATATGTACGAATTATAGAAAATCATTTGTTTGTGGATTTTAAAATTGTATTTTTCTAAATTGTTAATTTCAAATCAATGGCAAAAATATGCATACTGTTTGGTGTGAAAAAAAAATCCAAACAATAACCACCAAATCCAGGACTATAGAATACTGCAAATGAAAGAATTTTATGTAAAATCAACGCTTTTAGTCACACCTTACATGATGACTACCTTTCAACAATTACCTGGTTTTAGCATGATAATAGTACACATTGCCCTCCAAGTCTTTTGCAATTTCCCAGTTTGGTGGGAGTGATGGAACTCTCATTTTTGGTGGTGGAGGTGGTGGTGGTAGTAATGGAATATCATCTTGTACAATTGCCTCAGTACATAAAACATGCTGTGATAAATCTGGTACTTGTTGTGGCTGTTTAATTTTCAAAAGTAAAAACAAATTAAAATGTCTACAAAGCTTTACATACTTATAAAAATAATGGGGATGAGATATGATTGCCAATTATGCCTTCTTTTAAAACAAGTTTTGAATTTTCAATATTTCCCAATACAGTGCATTTCTAATTTACAAAACTAGAGGCTCTATGCTCTAAAGAGCCTGTGTCACTCACCTTGGTCTATGTGCATATCAAACAAAGGACACTCTCCAACATTGTCGACGAGAATAGACCATGACAAAAATCTCTATTTTGTTGATCTTGTATTACTGATCTTTTAGTCTGTTTGGTTTCTCTCCATCTTCTTTAGTTTTTGATCAAAACACAAAATGGGGGAAAAACTCCTATGAAGAGTGACAGTCTACTAACTATATCAGCAAAATTAGACTTTTTAATAGATCTTGCCCTGCTGATCATTTTTGAGATTTAAAGTGTTTATTTATCTATTATAATTTAAATCATATAAGGCATAATGGGAAAAAAATGTTTCTCTCTTAATATCATAGTTTTCATGATACAAGGCAAACATGAAAAAAAATGTTAAATTTGTCATTTATGGGCAAAAACTCCTTAAGGGGTCAATTGACCATTTTGGTCATGTTAGACTTATTTGTAGATCTTACTTTGCTGAACATTATTGCTGTTTACAGTTTATATCTATCTATAATATTATTCAAGATAAAAACCAAAAACTGAAAAATTTCCTTAAAATTACCAATTCAGAGGCAGCAACCCAACTACAGGTTGTCTGATTTGTCTGAAAATTTCAGGGCAGATAGATTTTAACCTGATGAACATTTTTTTCCCTGATCAGATTTTCTTTAAATGCTTTAGTTTCAGAGATAAAAGCCAAAAAATGCATTTTACCCCAATGTTCTATGTTTAGCCATGGCGGCTATATTGGTTGTTGGCCAGGGTCACTGGATACATTTTTAAAACTTGATACCCTAAGTATGATAAAGGCCAAGTTTGGTTTAATTTAGCCCAGTAATTTCAGAGGAGAAGATTTTTGTAAAAGTTAATGGACAATGACGACGAGGGACGACGAGAGACGACGAGGATGGACAACGAGGAAAGACACCAAGTGATGAGAAAAGCTCACTTGGCCCTTTTCGGCCAGGTGAGCTAAAAAAGTAAATCAACAAAATAATGTCATTCCAAATTGCTTTAAATTTCATTGGCTTACAATTATTCTGAATTTATCAAATTATCTCAAAAATGTAGGTCTGGCAATTATGTTAAAGGTTTGACAAGGTGGAAAAGTGTGACAGACAAAAAATATTCTTACAGCTCTGATATTTCGCTTCACATCATTATATTTTTTTTTTAAATTTATTGTTCCAGTCTTATAATGCCAATGTTGAGTTGTTTTTTATGAATGAGTTACACCGGTTGACTCAAGGTCATTGGCCGTAAAAGATGTCCTCCAACAATTAGTTCTTCTGTGACATTTTAAAGGGAGCATTGTGACATCGAAAATTTACAGGAAAGAGCTCAAATACATAAGTCGTCTATGGACTTAAAGATCTTTAGATTTGTTGGAATCTTATTTTCCCTTGTATGGCACAAGAAACTGTCAAGCAATACTTTACCTTCAAAAGAAAAAATTGAAATAGATAAATTAGAACACCCTACTTATACTAATTTCAGTGACTATATGATGTTTCAAACATACTCTCATTCTGTCGTTTAGTGCTTCTTTATATTGCTGTTTAATTGCGTCATCAACATTGTCAACTTCTACTTGATCCATTACATCTTTAATTACTAGTTCTGTACAAAGTTCCTCATTCAATGCAGGAGCTAATTCCTGCAGAGTCTCAAAACTTGAAATCTCCTAAAAAGTATTTAAAAAGAAATTGGAATAAATATTCAAATATATGTTTGGTTATCTGATATTCAGACTTTTAAAAAATGTCCTTGGTTAAGAGTTCAAACAAAATTGCTTATTTTTATTAAAAAAATTCAACATGTTCACTTCAATGACTCGTTACTCAGTGTAAATTGTACCATGAAAAACCCAGGGATCAAACTGATTGATTTTGACATGAACTGTTATACAGTTTTTAACAGAAAGGTTTTATAATGGTCTATACTATTCAACATTAATACTGCTAAAAAACTTTGAATTATATCAGAATATTGAAATTTTCTAAGATAATAAAAATGAAACAAGAGTGCACACGCTGAATTTGTCTTACATGCTCATGGCATGAAAATTCCCATTTCTCGTTTCCCGAGGGAAAGTAAAATTTTACACAGGAAGTCATGTTACAATCCTTTCTTCACGTCTTGATAGTTCTTTTTTAACAAAGTCTGTTGGTGTCCTTCAGTAATCACATAGATCAACTGTTACAAGATGTAAAATATGTTTAAACAGTTCAGGAGTAAACCAGTTACTTTCTGCACTGGTTTCAATAGCTTATACATTCATCATTTCACATACAGTGTTCCATAGGTAACAGTTGCTGTTTATGCTGGACACTCAGATATGAGCTTGTTAAAACTGTTTTGCTTCTTCAGGCTAAAGAAAGCTTGATATATTTTTTTATTGAATTGGATTGAAAACAACAATACAAATGAGACAAAATAAACATGTTCTCAAGCAATTAAATCACCTCCAGGTATTCTTCTTTTAAAGATAAAGGTTTAACTAAAACATCACAGAAACTCAGATCAGATAAATGCTGTCAGACAGACATATACAAATTACAATTTTTTATACACAAAATGTAATTGACCTATTGCTTAAAATATTTGTAAAACTGACCAAAAAACAAACATAACATTGACCAATGAACCATGAAAATTAGGTCAAGGTCAGATGATACCTGCCAGACAGACATATACACTTTATGATCATTTCATACACCAAATATAGTTGACCTATTGCTCATAGTACTTGAAAAACAGACCAAACAACAAAATTTAACATTGACCAATGTACCATGAAAATGAGGTCAAGGTCAGATGTAACCTGCCAGACTGACATTTACCCATTACAGTCATTCCATACACCAAATATTGTTGACCTATTGTTTAAAGTATTTGAGAAACGGATCTGATCACATAACTTTTAACCTTGATCACTGATCCATGAAATGAGGTTGAGCTCAGTTGAAGGTTACAATAAACCATTAGATTTTATGGGCGCAGCCATTTTATGAAGATAACATGGTATTCAGAATTAAGAGTATGGCTAATCCTGATTGGTCGATATGTGCGCCAGTTATTTTTTATCATTAGAGACTTCGTGCACTCTGCATTATACCAAAGGCAAAATAAATTATTTTCCTTAGCCCTAACGGAACTAAGATGTATTTTCAACACTAGGATGAGACACATGTTTTTAAGTGCAAAATTGATAAGCATGGGAGATAAGTACAATTACGTTAAGAAAAGCAATGGGAACCTATATTTTTTGGACCAAAAAAAACTGTCAGAATAATTTTTCTTTAATTCTAGCAAGGTTTCGATAAAAAAATCAACTTTCTAAAGTCTGTATCTCGAAAAAGGCTATCATTGTCGCCTATGGGGAAATTAATTGTTTATTACAATCTGAACCTTGTCTGACAGATATGTACACATTACAAGGAACCCATATACCAAATAAGTGAGAAATTCAAATTTTTTCAAGCAGTTGCTGAACCATGAAAATGAGGTCAAGGACATATGATAGACGGAGACTTCGTAAGATAAGGTATTTGCATACAAAATATGAAGCATCCCAGTCTTCTACCTTCTGATATTTAAAGCTTTAAGGAAATAGTTTACGCTGCTGACGCCACCCGATAGTAATACCTATGTCTTTCATACTGCTACTTTTGTCACAGGCGAGACAAAAATGGTAAGTTTTAAATCTGAAGACAAAGATACTATAGGTTCAATAGATTTTATCAAGTTTCAGAAAGCTTTTGGAATATTTTTTTAACCCCGCTTTTAAATTTTGTGCCATCTTTTACTTTTTTAATTAATTAGGATTGTAAATCTTGTTTCTTGTATGTTTTATCTTAATATGGTCCACATATACAAAGGGGGAGGTTTGTGTGTACATAAATCTGGCTTAGCCCAATCATAGTGTGAGACCTACAAAGTCAGAATATACGGACCATGAGCTGTTTGTCTTCATTTATATGTCAATTTTATTTTAGGAGTTTGGTGTGGTCTGCTGTACTGTCCAATATTTTTTGCATCTCCTGCTGTGTCCATGTATTTTCTTTACTTTGACTACTCCAATTGATAATACTTTACAAATCAAAACAAAATATTTGCCTTATTTGTTTTCACTTTTGTTAAAACAGTCTAAGGAAATGAGGTAACTAATATAAATATTATCTGTGGATGTAGGTTACATTTGTCACTATTTCTGCTGTTGCTGTAATCAGAGTATATAAGTAGCTGTGGTAGAGCAGTAAAGAGTGAAATCACAGGTCAGATAAACTGACATTACACACACCAAGAAACAATATGTGATATCTGCAAATAAGAATAATTACTGAAGCTAAGTTCTACTTACATATTCTGCTCTTTTGTGTTCTTCACTGTTATTCCTTTTTCTGCCTATTGAATTAAACAAATGAGTCAATGGGGAATAATACTTTTTTTTCTTAACTTATTTTCACTACTATTTGTGATAGGCAATTGATTTCAATTCTTCAGACCTCAAATATAACAATCAAATCACTCAAGACCTCCAATGAATGTTTGAATGTCCTTACTGTGTCAGAAATCTACACTATACAAAGAAAACGATGGAGTTTCCTTTTATCTAAGTCAGTGTTCTTCTACTAATATTTCAGTGTGTTTAACTAGTTCCCTTATACTACACTAGAACACACTAACTTTTGTAATAATGGCATATGCATATGAAAATAATGGAATGAATTATTTTCAGAGTATTCAAAACTCTCTGAATGTTTTTGACAAATCACTTGCTTTTGATTGCATGGCATCCTTTTAATTTGGTTGACATTTATCATGTTTATGATTTTGTTACAACATATAAAACTTTTACTAAATTCTTTCATTCTGTTAAGAGTTTTATTGTATGTACACTAGTACTGTCACAAAGGCTACCATAATCTCTATATTGATTGTTGGTATAATGTCTAGTGGCAAATATTTCATGCATGTTCAGAACAATCCTTTTAATTGACCAAAGTCCATTAGTAATAATCAATCTTATCCATCAATAGTCAAGACAATTCGGTAACTAAGATTCAAAACTTTTTGGGACTAGCTAAGTAGTCCTTCTACATCTGGACATTTTTTCATCAGTTTCATACCTATGTTACAAGGTTGTCCTACTTTAAATCTTCCACCTGTAAAGAAAATGAATCAAAGATAATAACTTATCCTTTCTTTAAATTTATATCCTATGATGAAAAGAAACATCTTTTTTGTACACAAAGTAGATGCATATATTTAAATAATCACTTAAAATGTGTCATATATTGTACTCCTGCTTTAAAAACCTATGCCAAGAACATCGAAAATTAAATAATGAATGCATGAATATATTATACATATGTTCTATGAATTTAACCATATATTCAGTTTTGGCTGTCTTGTTTTTTTTATGTCCTTGGGTTGCTGTCATATTGACATATTCCTAACATCACTTTCTTGTTTATTCATATATAGACTTCTCATTTATAATTGATATTGGGTTTTCCAAAACAAAAACTTGTAAGATTAATTTGTGTAATAGCATGAAGATTTTGTAAGTCTACAAATCAAGATTAAAGAGATCTCAAAATTCAAAGTTAATCTCCCACATTTGCATGTCCCTTTCCAGAGTAAGGAACCTTGATAGTAGTTGCCATATGACTTGGTACAACCTTTTTATCATTTGGAGAATTGGTTGTTAATGACAGATCTGTGTTTGTGTCAGTTAAATTTATTCACAACTTTTAAAGACTCTGGATAATTAGGAGCTTGACATATTGCATGGACACCTATCTTTAATAGTTTGAAGACTTAATGTTGCTTGTCTACATGTCTTCAGGTCAATTTTGTTAACAGGTTGCTGTCTCATTGACCTATACCCTCTAGCTCCTTTGAATGATAACATAAACTCTATAATTTTATACAGAATAAAGAATAACAAACACAAAACAAATTACAAATTGCCACACATAAACAGAATGCTTGCAGTTACTGAAAGTGTGTTCAATTTCATTGTTCATGTTGACTTAGAATTATGCAGTTCTACACTTAATATTCATAGGTTGTTTCATAGAAGATTTCATACAGCAATGTCATAATTATAATGCTCAAATTTGTAACAACAAAGGCATTGTAGCTTATAATATGATATGGGTTTGCTCATGGTTGAAGTCCATTAAGTGCTCTATTATTGTTTACATTCTCATCCTTGGAGGATAGTTGTCCGATTGGCTACCATAACACCATATATAGATATAAGAACAGTTTTCCTGATATTTATACTGTTAAAGGTAGAACAATTTCATATATCATAAAACACATATACAGTATATATACAAGTATTAACATGTTACCTTTCAGTTTAGAAATACAAAATCTCTTCAGACTAACATAGCATTTCTTTGTCATCTGAAAGCAAAATTTTTCAATTAACAAAGACCTTAATTTGTTGCAATGGTCAAGCACCAAATATCGTTTCAAATACATTTACTTTAAATATTTCTTTATAAGTTATGCTAGAAAATTATTATTCTATATATCTAAAATGGTTATCAATAGCTAGTGTACAATAAATTACCCTTTTCACATTGAAATTCTGTGACCTTTTGCAACTCTTAATGTGATGCAACAAAAGTCATTTTTCAATTTGACCTAAGTACTGAATAAATACAAAAAAACTTGTCTTACTGATTTTCACTGTGACATTAAATTTTCAACACCATCCAGTGTTGGGACAATAAGCCCTTCCTGCGTCCAAAAATAATTGAAAAGGACCTCATAATTAAGGAACATTCATGCCATGTTTGGTTTCATTCCATTCAGTGGTTCTCTAAAAGAAGACATTTGTATGTATTGTCCATAGGGTCCTATGTTAAACGAAGTCCCTTGCTCGTGGTTATCTTGGATGATGGATCGGCTTCAAAGTAACAACACTTTGTCAGCACCGCATAAGGCAGATTTTACAATAAAAAGGAAGTATTGCTTTTTTGTATCCATCAAAAAAGGAATTGCTGAAACTGTGAAACAGAGTGTGAAATGAAGTAATGCATTATGTTATTTAATAAAAGGTGTCTTTCTGAGTAAATAAAAATAAAAATCACCCTGTGTTTATGTTTTTTGTTAGAATTAGTGGGTTTTCAATTTCAAAATATTGGACATTGAATAGACATTGTGACCTACTTGACTGACATCTAGCTTATTTGGAGTGGAATTTTAAAGTATTATTTATAAGTGGAGCCTAATAACATGGACTTATATTTTAATAAAAAGTTTTCTTTTGTGTTTTAATTATAATTTCAAGGCACATTTTTATTGGTAAAGGCTAAAAAAGGTAATTTATTATATTATTGCGAACGTCACATCTTTTTCGTCCATTGTGGTATGTTACGATCGCAATTTTTTTGTTGGTTCTCAGACGGCCAATTGTTATTTTTAACTCGGGTTTTATAAATAATTGATATAAATAGCAATCACATTAAATTTTGATGACGAAAGGGGGTCAACGGACTTTCAGAATCAATATCATTGGCTGTTTTAGTTTTTGCGAACGTTACTGCTCTACGTTTCCGTCCAAATCAATGTCACGTGAGCAATATATATTTAGATCTGTAACTCTCCTGTATAGGAGTTACGATATCGCCCTTTGCAGAAATGGATGCGGAGCCGGTTCCCTCACATAATGGGAAAGCAAAGAAGGTAAGTTGACTGTTATATCGTTACATGAGGTCCTTTATTGTATTCCGTCCATCAAAAAGACATTCGCAACAAAACGTTGAATCAAGTAATGTCATTTAAATGTCACATTAAGAAACTTTTGTTGTGGTTTTTCATCTCCCAACGAGATTTGACCATATTTTACGTACAGTTGAGTCTTCTAGTTCATCAAAATACATTTCTTTTAATAATTTGATGCGAACGGTATAACATGGACAGATTTTTATGTAGCGATCGTTACTTTGGGACAATATATTGTTGATGTGATGTTATATAAGAAAATTAAAACAGTCTAATATAGTAATGAAGGGGCGCTCATTACTATATATATTTGAAGGTAATAGTCTTTCCTTTTCGAAGAGCTTCATACCACATCTTCTATTTTTATAATAACAACTTAGTTCATTAATTGCCAAAATTAGTCCAGTTCTTAAAATTGTCAAAATTGGCATAAAAGTCATTGCTCACAGACAAAATGATAAACATACATTTGATTTTCAGGGGTATCTTAGCATAATCTCGGGTAATCATTAAAAGAAGATGGTAACTTGAACTGTTCTAGCTACAATTAATGATGACAACATATCTTTAATTACCATATATTCTGAAAGCATTCGGCAAAAAACTATGTCTTGATTGAAGTAAATTTGAAGGCAGTACTTCAATACATTTTAAAAATTTTAATAGTCGTTCATTTTTTAAATTGTATTCATATACCAGTAATATTTTCAATTTATTTTCTTTCAGATGAAGTCCTCCAGAACTAACAGAGACGATAAATTTTTCAAACATTAAAATATTTTTAATCTTCTTAGTCTAGGCAGTATTTTAGACTTTTGAATGCAAATGCATCATGAATTAAATGGGCAAAGCAAGGTGTTCTGAAGACTACAAAAGACTTTCTTTACCAAAATCCATGGTGAAAGTCATTGAGGCATTGATCACTATGGTATTTCCATATTCACTGCGAATTGATTTGAAATTGTTCATTCTTCTGTTGTTTGATGTTTCTTGCTAGACATTACATGGGCATTTTGGCTTGTGCTTCATAAATAATCCATATCCCCCTTCTGTTTTGAGTGCCAAAGGTTGCAGGTTCAATACGTAGCCAGATAAAAGAAGACATTAAAATTGGGTCTTTGCTGCTTCTCATCCAAGCCGACAGCATCTAGGAGTAAAAGCAAAGGTCAGCTTACAGAGGCAACAGAGTCTGTATAATGTGTCTTTGTGGAAAATCCTGCTAAGCGTGTCGGTCTAGTACAAAGCAGAGATCATATTAAATCAACTTGTTCTCGTCCTGATGTGCACATACTAGGTTGACACTGGACGTTAAACAATAATTAATCCATCCATCCATAAAATCTGGTGTCTCAGTCTGGTACAAAAAACAGTTCTTATTGCATTAGGTACTCGTATCATATCAACATCTCAGTTCACGACTAAAGATATGAACAGATCTAGAAGAATCATTCAGTTACATCTGAAAACTTTTTCGATAAAGATATCATGAATCTTATTTTTCACCTCCTGTAACAATTTTGGCCCTATTTAGTGCGACCCATCTAGATAGCAAATTTTCTTAATGTAATACTGAAGAAGATGTTGCTAATGTTACTATTACAAATTGGTTTCTTGTGTATTCATTTGATACAAAGTACACCTGCCAATGACATTCTGTATATTTAGATATTCTAAACCAGACTGTACAATTTAATTACTCAAAGCATTTATAAAGCACGACTGTGTGCATACATTTTATTTTTTAAAGATGCTGTTGCTAATGTGACATGTCCAAATGTCGCTAACGTTACTCATTTTTGTCTCCGTCACATTAGCAACAGCCTTAATTCAAAACATGTTTTCTTTCAAGAATCTGGCACAAATTAAACTAGTAAAAAGTAAATATTGGCAACACATGCAACTTTATACTTATTCAATTCTTTTTACTGTGTATTAGATGTCATTTACTTTGAAAAACATAAACTTTTTGTCCCATTTTCCATATGTCACATGTCCATCATCTTAAACATATTTTTTTCCACTAATATATTAGAAATAGTAATGTGAAAGATGCTGAATATCTTCCTAAACCCTTTACCTTTCAGAATTTATTTTGGTTTTATTGCTGGTTAAAGGCTTTAAACCAAAATTAATGAAATTTTGGACCAGGGTGCAAAAGGAGAAAATGTGGGTATCCTGTTTCCTTGGCAACTATTCAATAATCTCTTACATTATTTACTCCTTTTTTGAAGAATTATGATCTACTGATAATAAATTTTCAGAAAATATAATTTTTTTTCGTGTAATGCCTTCTTTAATTATTTATCATGGAAGTAGGAGGCAGAACACAATACTGTAAAATCTGCCATAAGCAATATTCATCCCATGCTTTATTTCATTCCATTCAGTGGTTCTCTGAAAGAAGCCATTTATATGTATTGTCCATACTAAGGGTCCAATGTTCAATGAAGTCCCCAGCTGGCTGCCATCTTGGATGATGGATCGGCTTCAAAGCAACAGCACCTCATAAGGAACATTTATGCCATGTTTAGTTTCATTCCATTCAGTGGTTCCCTAAAAGAAGACTTTTGTATGTATTGTCCATAGGGTCCTATGTTAAATGAAGTCCCCTGCTGGCAGCCATCTTGGACGATGGATCGGCTTCAAAGTAACAACACTAGGTCAGCACCTCATAAGGAATATTCATGCCATGTTTGGTTTCATTCAATTCAGTGGTTCCCTAAAAGAAGACATTTGTATGTATTGTCAATAGGGTCCTATGTTAAACGAAGTATCCAACTGGCAGACATCTTGGATGATGGATCGCCTACTAAGTTACAACACGTGGTCAGCACCTCATAAGGAACATTTTTGCCATGTTTTATAACATTCCATTCAGTGTTTCTCTAAAAGAAAACATTTGTATGTATTGTCAATAGGGTCCTAAGTTAAACGAAGTCCCCAACTGGCAGACATCTTGGATGATGGATCACTTACAAAGTTACAACATTTACTTAACACCTCATAAGGAACATTCATGCCATGCTTTATTTCATTCCATTAAGTGGTTCTCTAAAAGAAGACATTTGTATGTATTTCCCATAGGGTCCTATGTTAAACTTTAGTCCCACTCTGGTGGCCAACTTGGATAATGGATTGACTTCAAAGTTTCAACACTTGGTCAGCACCTCATAAGAAACATTCATGCTATGTTTGGTTTCATTCCATTCAGTGGTCCTCTTAAAGAAGACATTTGTATGTTTTGTCCATAGGATGCTATGTTAAACAAAGTCCCCCGCTGGCGGCCATCTTGGATGATTGATCAGCTACAAAGTAACAACACTTGGTCAGCACCTCATTAGGAACATTCATGCCATGTTTGGTTTCATTCCGTTAAGTGGTTCTCTACAAGAAGACATTTGAATGTATTGTCCATAGGGGCCTATGTTAAAGGAAGTCCCTTGCTGGCCACCATCTTGGATGATGGATCGGCTTGAAAAAATACTTGGTCAGCACCTCATAAGGAACATTCATGCCATGTTTGATTCACACCATTAAGTGGTTTCTTAGCCATCTTGGGTGATGGATCGCTTACAAATTTACAACACTTGGTCAGCATCTCATAAGGAACATTCATGCCATGCTTTATTTCATTCCATTTAGTGGTTCTCTAAAAGAAAACAGTTGTATGTATTTCCCATAGGGTCCTATTTTAAACTAAGTCCCTCTCTTGGGGCCATCTTGGATGATGGATCGGCTTCAAAGTAACAACACTTGGTCAGCACCTCAAAAGAAACATTCATGCCATGCTTAGTTTAATTCCATTCAGTGGTTCTTTAAAAGAAGACATTTGTATGTATTGTCCATCGTGTCCTTTGTGCTTCTTGACATTTTTTTGATTCAAGCATCACTGATGAGTCTTTTGTAGACGAAACGTGCATCTGGCGCTAATACAAAATTTCAATCCTTGTATCTTTTATGAGTTTATTGTTGAACAAAGTCCCCTGCTGGCAGCCATCTTGGATGATGGATCGACTTCAAAGTAACAACTCTTGGTCAGCACCTCATAAGGAACAATTTCATCCATTGTATATGGTTTCATTCCATTCAGTGGTTCTATAAAAGAAGACATTTGTATGTATAGTCCATATGGTCCCATGTTAAACGAAGTCCCTCGCTGGTGGCCATCTTGGATAATGGATCAGCTTCAAAGTAACCACACTTGGTCAGCACCCCATAAGGAACATTCATGCCATGTGTGGTTTCATTACATTCAGTGGTTCTCTAGAAGAAGTTCAAAATGTAAAAAGTTAACGAGGACAATGATGACGAGGGAGGACAACGGGACGACCACGGACAACAGACTCCAAGTGATGAGAAAAACTTGCTTGGCCCTTCTGCCAGGTGAGCTAAAAATATGAAAAAAAGAAATGTGAAATACCAATATGCCTCCCAAACTTGGTGTTGAGGGTGCCAAAATTAGAATCATACAGGTTTTCCTGAAACATACCCTTTTTTATTTTTTTGTTATAAACTAATGGCCCATTTGACAACATGGCTCATTAATACTAAAAATGGCCCAGTGAAATATTTTTGGGGCTCTGGGCCCACACAGAAATCAAAGCGTTATATTAAGAAAATGTCAAAATCTAGATCGTTTAATTTAATTTGTTTTCATAGGAAATACTGGGCATTGTAAACCAGTCCGGTAATGATATATATCTTAATACCAAAAATTACCACGTTGAAATAAACACGACTTGTTGCAAATCCACAAACACAGTTAGGTTTACCAATACGACACTCTGATTAAATTAACAAAAGTATTTTGATATTTAAACAAGCAAGAAAGACCCTATTTATTCTTTTAAAACAGCAAAATTTAATTCATAAAAAATAAAATTAACGGTGTTTGTACACTTTAAACTAGTAATAAGAGGGAACTAGATTATATAGCCTTTCACTGTAAATGTGTTCAAAAATGAAGCCTGTTACGTAACATTTGGCAGATCAAAATTTCTAAGAAAAGGAGTTAACTATTAAACTGCCATTTAAATATTGCATTTGAGGAATGCTTTATCAAATCAACTTAATTTTCATTACAAAAATCATGCAAACACATACTTTTACTGGATCTTGAAAGAACATAGAATGAAAAACGTGTGCACTCTATTTTGAAGATAAACAAAATGGCCATACACGATGAGAGTAAAAGCAAATGCTTTTAAAAATCTTTCAGATTACCATGTCTTACCTGAAGTTTTGAAGACTGGACTTGCTCAGTAGGTAAACTACCATCACACATTTTCTGTTTGCTTTCAAGTAAACTAGGTTCACCTGTTGTAATGAAAATGCAATACTGTATTACAACCTTGATTCCATGCAAAGTTAGGAGTACACTAAACCATCAATGTATAAAGTTTATAGGACTTAATGCATTTTACAACCTGTTGACAAAGAGAAAAGTCTATATAAAAAGAAGATGTGGTATAATTGCTGATGAGACAACTCTACACAAGAGACCAATTGACACAGAAATTAACAGCTACATATAGGTAACCGTACAACCACCAACAATGAGCAAAGCCCATACTGCATACCAGTAGTCAGCTATAAAAGGCCCCAAAATCACAAATGTAAAACAATTCTACAGGAAAACAATTAATAATAGCCGGCTCCTCACTTGGGACAGGCACATACATACAAAATGTGGCAGGGTTAAACATGTTAGCGGGATCCCAACCCTCCCCCTAGTCTGTGTGTAATTTTGACAATAAAATGCAAATGTTGAAATTGAAATGGCATGCTTTAATATGTAAACTATGTATATCATTATTCAAAGTCAATAAACCATGACTGATAGTGCAGGAGCAAATAATCTACCTGGAAATTAGTTATGCATAATGTTGACACAACTGCATACCAATTATTGTGGCATACCAATTATCAGTGACTTACCATTAGCTGCTTATCTTACACTGACCTAATCTCAAAAGGTTGATGCTGAAGAAGATATTTTCAACATAATTGCTTTGGAGGCCTAAGTCTCGCCTACCAACTTTGTTATATGTATCCTAGAAAAACGTTATAGCAGGAATTACCCAAAATATTGCATAGCACAACAGATCACATCAATCACCAACACATGGTTGCTCCGAAATAACAAACAAAAACTGTTTTTGTTTTTGATAGATTAATAATAGCCGGGCTAATTAATGTACAAAAAAAATGAACGAAAAACAAATATGTAACACAGCAACAAACAACAACTACTGAATTACTGGCTCCTCACTTGGGACAGGCACATATATACAGAATGTGGCAGGGTTAAACATGTTAGCGGGATCCCATAACTAAAGATGTTTTGTTATTCATGCATTCATGAAAATGTATGGTCCTTAACAACCTATCAATGTTATGCACTTATAATTTGGCATAGCAAAACTACTCCTCTTACTGCATTACTTTTTATTGCATTTTAACACTAAATCTGTCTGGGAGAAAATGGTTTATTTGTTAATTGTTGTTGGCTTTAAAGTAGTTTTCAGTAACTGCAAGTACAATTAGATTGGTACTTTGTGTCTTTTGTCTTTTCATTAGTTGTTTTCAGATTTTATGTTGATCTAATGCTCAAACTCTCTAACTGATTTTAACAGTTATTTTGTGCTATTACACCACTGTCAACAGATTAGGGGAGAGTTGAGCCCTCATCAGGAATTTCAACCAATTCCTAATGTTTATGTTCAGTAGTGGAGTTAAAAGGGGCACAAAGGGTATGTGAAACAGTATGCAACAATAATTTGGCTGCCAGGCATTCTTGCAGAATACTAATTAACTAATTAGCCTTGATTGCAATGAGGGGACTTGTTTTTATAGTAATCAATCATAATGTCACTTTTATGACTGGACATTTG